AATATGATAATTGAGGTTATGTAGGAGAATGTATTTATTCTTTGGAGATGTAGGCTGAAGTATTTAGGGGTGAAATGTTTGAATCTTAATGTATGCAGCTTACTTTTTAAAAGTTTAGTCAAAAGATACACACACCACATATACAGGGGTGGGCCAAAGTAGGTTTACAATTGTGAGTACATTAAACTTTGAGTTTATTTTTGTATTATTATTTATTAATGATTGTATTATTTTTCATATGAACAACTGTAAACCCACTTTGGCCCACCCCTGTATGGAGAAAACAAATATGGCAAAATACTAGCAATTGTTAAATCTAAATGGTGGGTGAAAGGGTATGCTTTATGCTCTTCTTTCAACTGTTTGGTATGTTTTGAAATTTTTATTAAATAGAAGATTGGGGAAGATGTTAACCTCTCTATTAACCTGTTAGCTGGTAACCTGTTAACCTTCCTGCCTGAAAGATTGTGCAGGTGAGGCTGTATACATCCTGTTTGTTACTCTCATTAAATTCTTTTGGACACTGAATAATGCTATTTTACCATTAGTTTACATGCGATGATGTTAGGCTTACATGATTTGAGAATCAGTAACTCCTTAATTTTCTAAAATTCCTCACCTGAGGATATGTTTTTACTGATTTTAGAGAAGGGGGTGGAGAGAGAGAGAGAGAGAGAGAGAGAGAGAGAGAGAGAGAGAGAGAGAGAGAGAGAGAGAGAGATGTGAGAGAGAAACAATTGGTTGCTTCCTATATGTGCCCTGACCAGGAATCGAACCTACAGCCTTTTGGTGTAAGGGACGGTGCTCCAGCCAACTGAGCCACCTGGCTAGGGTTGTTTCACTTTTTAAAAAAAATCCTCACCCAAGGATATTTTTCCATTTATTTTTAGACAGAGTGGGAGGGAGGGAGGGAGAGAGAGAGAGAGAAAGAGAAAGAGAGAAAGAAACATTGATGTGAAAGAGACATATCAACTGGTTTCCTCCTTCACAACCCCGACCAGGGCCAGGGCGAGCCAAGGTATGTGCCCTTGACTGGAATCGAACCTGCCACTCATTGGTCCGTGGGTTGACGCTCTAACTGCTGAGCCAAAGCAGCCAGGGCAGGACTGTTTAATTTTTAAGTTCACATGTCTTTTTAAAAATTGTCTTGCCCTGGCCGGTGTGGCTAAGTGGATTGAGTGTTGTCCCATGTACCAAAAGGTTTCCAGTTAGATTCTCAGTCTGGGCATATGCCTGGGTTCCAGGCTCGATCCCTGGTAGAGGGTGTGAAGGAGGCAGTCGATCAATGTTTCTCTCTCTCCCTCTATCTTCCTCTCTCTCTCTAAAAAAAAAACAATAAAAAAAATGTTTAAAAAAAATTGTGTTTCACCTGCAAGAGAATATATTGTAGGAGACTTTTTTCTTTTGGTTAAAGTATACTACCTGGCTTTTAATCAGTGTGAATATTTGTATTAGGATGAGGCTAGCTGTTATAACAGACCAACCCCAAATTTTAGCAACCTAACATAAGAAAAGTTTACATTTTACTTATGTAATGGGCCAGTGCAAGGGTCTGGCAGATGACTACTCCATGTAGTGATTCGGGTACCAGATACCTTCCATCTTGTGGCTTCTCCATTCCTTAGCATTTTGGAATCCTCCCCCTCCAGCCAATGAATGAGGACAGAAAGAAAGAGGACCACGTGGGGAAGACATATGTGCTAAGCCTGGAAGTGTTGCACATTGTTTTGTTCACTTCTGTTGGACAGAACTTGGTCACGAGGGCACATCTAACTGGAAGGGAAGCAGGGAAATGTAGTCTAGCTGGAGGAAGAGGAACAGGTTTGGAAAACAGCTAGGCAATCCATGTCTCACATAATCCAGAAATGAGAAAATGAAAAGTGGTAAGATTTGCATGTTTTTTTTTTTTTTTTTTGGGGGGGGGGTTGCTGTTGCTGGTTGTTGATAACTAATTTTTTAAATTTTATTTTAAGTAATTCAGTTTGAAGAGAGCATTCATCTTGAGTTTATGAAGTTGTTTCAATAGACATATCAGTATCACCTGGGAGCTTGCTAGAACTAGCAGGTCTGACCTCAGACTTACTTAGAATGTCTCAGAGTGAGACTATGCAATGAAAACACTGCATTTCCTGGCCTCTCTTGCAGTTGTGTGGTCATATGACCAAGTTCTGGCTAAAGACTAGAAGTATTGTGTGGGATTCGTGCTAAGTCTCTGTTTTTTTTTTTTTTCCAAATTCTCACCCAAGGCAATGTTATTATTGATTTTAGAGAGAGAGGAAGGGAGAGAGAGAGAGGGGAGAAGAGAGGGAGAGAGGAGAAAGAGAGAGAGAAGAGAGAGAAAGAGAGAGAGAAACATCAATTGGTTGCCTCTTGTATACGTTCTGATTGGAGATTGAACCTGCAACCTAGATATGTGCCCTGATCAGGAGTTGAACCCACAACCTTTTGGTGCATGGGAGAACACTCCAACCAACTGAGCCACACTAACCAGGGCTGTGCAAAGTATCTTTAAAAGGAAGGTAGCATACCCTTCTTTTGCCATGCTTTCTGTCCTCTTGGATGTGGATGTTATGGCTAGAGCTCTAGTAGCAATATTGGATCAAGAGGTAACCTTGGGAATGGAAGGCACTTCTAGCAATACAATAAGATAGATGGGGCTGGGGTCTCTGATAGAATGGAGCTGCCATGCCAGGTCTGCATACTTCTGGACTCCTTATATGTGAGAGAGAAATGAGTCTTTGTTATTGGCTATTGAACCTAATTGTAATTTTTACTTATACCAGGCTCTGACTTCCACTTGGAACTTGGGTGTGACATACGGGGCTGTTTTGAGGAAGGACCTGAGGCAGATGTTCATGACTACAGTGGATATGATACTGCTTGGGATTCTAAAGGAGGCTGAAGAATAGGCAGTACAGTTCTAGAGAAAGGGTTTGAGGAAAGGGTTAAGATTTAAAGTATCACTTAAATTTGGTAACTGTTTTGGACATCTCACAATCAATCACCCACACGTTTGGTGATTTGCTAGAAAAACTCGGGATTCAGAGACATTTGTAGTCACAGTTTTGATTTATTACAGTGATAGGATATGCATCAGGATCAGCAAGGGAAAAAGATGTAATGGGTAGAGTTTGGAAGAGTCTAGATGTGGGCTTCTAAAGTTCTCCCTTAGGGGATTAGGGTAGGGTTTCACAAAACAAGCTTCTTCCTCTAGCAATTCAATACAGCAACACATGCACAGTGTTTCTGCCTACAGACGCTTGCTTAATTTTTTTTTTTTTTCATTGGGGACTGATCAGGCACTCTTACTGAAATTTCTGACTCCCAGAAGGAAAGCAGGTATTTACCATAAATCACATTTGCAGAAACAGTCAATCTAGCCAGGCTAGTATTACAGTATTCAGTGTTCCAGGCACACAGAACAATCTTATCAATTAATCACATATAGAATATTTTATAGGCCAAGTTACCAGGAGCTATTGCAAGGATAAGTCATGTAAGCAGGTCCTCCTAGAGGTAGCGACATCATGCCTATTATGTTAACTTTTTCCTGCAGAGTAATATGTGGCATCAAAGGCCTGTTAGCTTTTTTGTTCCTGAGGGCACAGTTTTATTTTGTTTCATACACACTCTTTTATTTTTTTAATTATTACTAGTTTAGATTTATTGATTTTGTTTTTAAAATTATCACAGGTAAAATTGTTTTTTTGATGCACAGTTGTATGGATTTTAACATTTGTATAGATATACGCAACTACCACCACAATCAAGATGAACACTAGTTCCATCATCCTAAAAATCTCTCTCATGCTACCACCCAACTCTGACAACCACCGACCTATTTTCCATCACTATAGTTTTGTCTTTTCAAATACATTATATAAAGGGCACCTTTCAGTATGTAATCTTTTGGGATTAGCTTTTTCACTCAGCATATAACGCCTTGAGAGTCACCCATGTTGTTGTGTGTATCTATAGTTAGCTCATTTTTATTGCTGAATCCTATTCAATTTTACAGATATAACAGGTTGTTTATTCATTTGCTAGTTGAAGGTCAATTGGGTTGTTTCCAGTTTTTTTTGTGTGTGTGATTATGAATATTTGTTTACGGGTTTTTATGTGAACGTAAGCTTTCATTTTTCTATGATAAATAGCCAGGAATGCCCTGGCCGGTTTGGCTCAGCGGTTAGAGCGTCGGCCTGCGGTCCGGAGAGACCCGGGTTCGGTTCCCGCTAAGGGCACGTACTTCGGTTGCAGTTTGTCCCCGGCCCTGGTTGGTCGTGCAGGTGGCAGCCACTCGATGTGTCCCTTCACATCGATGTTTCTCTCTCTCTCTCCCTCCCACTCTATCTGTACAAAAAATGGAAAAATGTCTTCGGGTGAGGATAAAAAATAAAAAAAATAAAATAAAAAAATAAAAAATAAAATAAATAAATAGCCAGGAATAGGATTGCTGGGTTATAGGATAAGAGTAAGTTCATAAGGAAACTGCCAAACTGTTTTTGGAGTGCCTCTACATTCCGACTAGCAATGTGTAAGAGTTCCAGTTGCTCTGCATTCTCTCCAGCACTTAGTATTGTTAGCACTTTTTATTCTATTCGTTCTAATAGATGTGTAGTGGTATCTCATTGTGGTTTTAATTTGCATTTCCCTAATGTTGAACATGTTTTCTTATGCTTATTTGTCATTCACATATCCTTTTCCAAGTGACCAAGTCTTTTGCCCATTTTCTAATTGTATTGCTTGTTTTCTTTGAATTTAGAGTTCTTTATATAATTTGGATGCAACTCCTTTGTTAGATATGTAGTTTGCAAATATTCTCTCCCATTTTGTGGTTTGTGTTTTCATGATCTTAACAGTGTCTTTTGCAGAGCAAACATTTTAAATTGTAGTGTAATCCAATTTATTAACTTTACTTTGTAAATTTTTAAAATTTTACTTATTTTTTTGTTGATCTTCACCTGAGGATATTTTTCCATTGATTTTTTTTTTTTAGCTATAATGTTCCTTAATATATGTATCAAAACTCATACTGAACAATGAGTTCTGGGTTGCAAAAGAGGCTTTAATTTTCACACCTATATGTAGTCTTTTTCCATTGAATTTTAGAGAGAGTGGAAGGGAGGAAGGGAGAGAAAGGGGGAGGGAGAGGAGAGAGAAACAATCAAAGTGAGAGAGACATATTGATTAGTTGCCTCCTGCATGATCCTGACTGGGGCCGGGAATTGAACCTGCAACCCAGGTACATGCTCTTGACTGGAATCAAACCTGAGACCCTTTGGTCTGGGGGCTGATGCTCTAACTGCTGAGACAAACTGGCCAGGGCAACTTTTCCTTTTTATTAATTGTGCACTTGGTAGTCATGTCTAAAAACATATTGTTAACCCCAGGTCAAGAAGGTTTTCTCCTATGTTTTGTTCTAAAAGTCTTAGGTTTTGCATTTCACATTCAGATCTGTGATTTATTTTGAGTTAGTTTTTGTAAAAGGTATGAGATTTAGGTTGAGCTTTATTTTATAATGTATGGGTGTTTAAGTTTTCCAACAGTTTTGTTGAAAAGATGGCCTTTCCTTCATTAAATTACTTTTGTAACTTTGCACAAAATCAATTGCTGATATTTGTATGGATATATTTCTGGACTTTCTATTATGTTCCACTTACCTTTGTATCTAGCTTTTTGCTAATATCACACCATATTGCTTACTGCAGCTTTGTAGTGGGTCTTAAAATCGAGTCCCTCCAACTTAATTTTTTTTCAAAAATTTTTCAGCTGTTCTAGTTTGAATCTTCTATATTCTTAATGATTTTTTATGTAGTTATATCAATTTTTTACCACAATCAATTTTAGAACATTTTTATCACCCCCACAAGAAACCCTGTTAGTAGTCACATCTTATTTTCTCCCAACACCTCCAGCCCTAGGCAACCATCAGTCTATTTTCTGTTTCTATGGAGTTGCTTCTTTTGGACACTTATGTAAATGGAATTATAGAATATGTGGTCCTTTGTGACTGGTTTCTTTCACTTAGCATAATGTTTTTAAGCTTTATTCATGTTGTATAATGCATCATTATTTTATTTTATAGCTGAATACTCTTCTACTATATGAATATACTATATTCATTTCCATTTGAATAAATGGAAATTTGGGTTATTTTCACTTTTTGGTTATTATGAATAATGGTTCTACAAACATTTGTGTACAAGTTTTTGTGTGGACATATGTTTTCTTTGGGTATATGTTTTTGTTTCTCTTGGGTATATACCTACAAGTGGAATTGTTGGGCATATTTTTATTTTTGACACATGTCTTTATATTTAAAGTGACTTTCTTCTGGGCAGCATGTAATTAGGTCTTGCTTTTTTTTAAAAAAAAGTAGTATAATCTCTGCCTTTTTGTTGTTGTTGTTGTTGTTGTTAATCCTCACCCGAGGATATTTTTCCATTGATTTTTAGATAGAGTGGAGAGGAGGGAGGGAGGGAGAGAGAGAGAAACATTGGTGTGAGAGAGACACATTCATTGGTTGCCTCCTGCACAACTCTGACCGGGCTCAGGGATTGAACCTGCAACCCAGGTACGTGCCCTTGACCAAAATTGAACCCGCCACTCATTGGTTCACGGGGCGATGCTCTAACCGCTGAGCCAAACCGGCCAGGGCATATCCTCCTTATTATTGGTTGCATTTTCCTGCCTCTTTGTATGCCTGCTAATTTTTAGTTGGATGCCAGGCATTGTAAATTCTACCTTGTTAGGTGCTAGATGTTTTTGTATTACTATACATAGTTTTGAGTTCCTAGATGCAGTTAATATACTTGGAAATAGTTTGAAACTTTGGGGTCTTGCTTTTATGACTTGTTAGGTAAGCCTGGAGCAGTATTCACTTTAGGTCTAATTATTCTCACTGCTGAGGCAGACTATCTTGACTGTTCTGCCCAATGCCCTATAGACTGTGAATTTTTCCAATCTGCCTGGTGGGGACAGATACTTTTCCAGTAGCCAGATATTGTTCTCCCTAATCTTTTCAGATTATTCTTTCCCCTCATATGCATATGCTTATCTCTCTTGAATACCTGAGGGGCAGACCCTCTGTGGATCTCTAGGATTCTCTTTTTGTTCTGGTCTCCTTTCTGGTACTCTGTCCTATGAAGTTGAGCTACCTTCACATCCAGACTCTAAGCTTTGTCAGTTCTCAGTGGTTCTCAGCCTTCTTAATGCCGTGACCCTTTGATACAGTGCCTCATGTTGTGGCGACCCCCAACCATAAAATTATTTTCATTACTACTTCATAAGTGTAATTTTGCTGCTGTTATGTCTTAGATGACCCCAGTGAAAGGGTTGTTCGACCCCCAGAAGGGTCGTGACCCAAAGGTTGAGAACCACTGCGAGAATGTGCTAGAGACTTCCCCTCCATGTTTTGTAGCTTGGAAACTCTCTTAAGGCAGGAAGCTGGAGCAATCATAGGGCTCACTCTATTTTCCCCCATCTCTCAAGGATTACTGTTCTTCATTGCCTGATGGTCAGGGTCTTGAAAACCATTAATTATGTCGTGTATTATTTTGTGTTTGTTTCAGGCTTAAAGATAAATCCAGCCCATTTATCCATCTTGTCTGGGAGTGGAAGCCGTAATTCCATAAAGGAGTTTTGGTCTTCTTTTTTGGCATTGTAACCCCATACACACACACCCTGTCTTTTGGTATTTATTTTTTTTGAACTGTTCACTTTATGTGTGTATTTATGCAGTTATACATGTTATATACACGAGGCACAAATTTAAAACAAACCTACCATGGACTATCTTATTCTAGTGTAGGAATCTGTTGGCTGCTGTACATTTTTGCTCCTGAGAGAACTGGGGAAAGAAACAATTGCATTCATTAACAGAGTAGGCTATGAATGAGCCTGAGTGATTCTCTTTAGTGGTATGAATGAGAGAATTGTCTATTTTCAATGGCAGTGTTGTGCAGTGTTTATGATGGCACTGAAGAGAGACACAGACAAGATGGTAATACTGTAGTGATTTTTATCTATTGTGGGAAAATGTGGTAAAGGGTGGAGCTCTGATATGGCATTTGAAGTCCTCCCAGTCCACTCAGTAAAAAAGAGGCAAGTAGTTCAGTAAGAGGCAACTATGAACCATAGCATTGGAATTGCTGAAAAGCCAAACAGGGTGCATTGAAGCAACTTAGTGATAAGCAACAGCAGAAAACCACTGTCACCTCTAGGGCTGACATAGGGAGATGGTGGTATTACCAGAGCCCAGGAATGAGATTGCCTGTCAGGAAATGGAACCACTGTGGGGGCTGCCTAGTGAGATGTAGGAGCTGGAGGGAGGTCTATCTGGTGGGAGCATCAGCCATGGAGATCACATAGCCATTGCCTTAGAGACAGAAAAAGAGGGACAGAAGGAGAAAGGGGAAAAGGGAGAGAGCATGAGTGTGTATACACATAGCAGAGAAGTAGAGATACCTTGGCTTCTTCTTATCCTCTAGTCTCTCACCTGTGCCACTAATTGGATGTATCTAACTGGAAGTCACTTGGAAGGGGGAATGGAAATATAGTTTATAGGGGTTGCTCTCTCTTCCTTCTCCACCCCCTCCCACATGTAGCAGAGCAAGAAAAGGCAGAAAATGGATCTGAGGGCACATTAGCTGAGGACTGGAATAAGGACTCTTCCTCAAATTGAATGCCTATTCAGGTGTGCAGTGTATCCAATACCTAGATTTGGCCCAGAAGTAAGGAGAAAAGCTGAGTGATCAGGGTCAAAAGAAGCAGTATTCCTATCAGCCGACTCTGGAGGAAAGGAAGCTAGGTGTTGAGGCACAAGCTAGACTTGCTGCACTAATGTATGCCTAAAAGATGGGATGAGGTAATTATGACAAACAGTTGTTCACATTTTAAATGTTAATTATATACATTAAAAAACCCCACATCAACTATTTTGCAAGCTTATCTATCAATGCTGTTTTATTGAATTATTATATATTATGTAAGGAGAGGATGTGGTGGTAGATATGAGGAGAGAAGGAAGGACCCTTTTATACTGTAACTAACATAATTTAATGTATACAATAATCATTTTACTATCAAAATTGTAAAAATTTCTGTAACAATATCTTTTTTTTTTTTTAATCCTCACCCGAGGACATTTTTCCATTTTTTGTTCAGGTACAGTGGGAGGGAGAGAGAGGAATAGAGAGAGAGAGAGAAACATCGATGTGAAAGGAACACATCGAGTGGCTGCCACCCGCACAACCGACCAGGGCCGGGGACAAACTGCAACCGAGGTACGCGCCCTTGGCGGGAACCGAACCCGAGTCTCTCAGGACCGCAGGCCGACGCTCTAACCTCTGAACCAAACCGGCCAGGGCTTTTTTTTTTTTTTTTTTTTAAGGGCCACTTTAACAGTGATACACTAACATCTCTAAGCCCCTTTTTTATGAGTTCAGCCAGGGAAACTGTACCTGTAGAGGATACTGATCTCTCTGAATCTATGTTACTTAGTTTTATAGCAACGTTTCTTCAATTTCCACAATTCAGTTAGTGTTTGGAAAATTCCTAATAAGAGTGGGGATCTGTAAAAGAGGACATCTCCAGGGCAGTAGATCAGTTAAGCACCTGTTGTTTTCTCAGTGTCCCTTACTGGTATGGAGGACCTGGTTGGTCCAATGATGTAAAGTCATAGGTATGATACAGGTTTGAGCAGTTTCTTGTACTAAAAAGGCTAAATGGACATCAAGCACTTATGTGTTACAAAACAAAAAGTTAATGAAAACAAGTTCTTTCTTTAATTGTAATTATAGCAACTCAGGTAAGAATATAAGTTATTTCAAACTGATCAGAAACCTTGATTAGATATTAAACTATAGGAATTTCCAATCTTTCTATGTTTTTTAAAGAAAATATTCAGCAAATTTTTATTGTAAATTGTGATTTGACTGACACAGTCTTTCAATATTTCAAATATTTCCTCTTTGTGGAAAAAGACTACACATAGTATATATGTATTGTTGACTGAGTGCAGATGAATCAGGGGGCTTCATCTAGGAATAAATGATAAAGATTTATTCAAGGTCTTTGGATTTGCAAATCAAAAACACAACTAGGCAATACCCAGAGTGTTCAGAA